CTCTTACAAGCGCCCGAGGAGGGCTGCAGGGGGGCGAGCATGCAAGCAGGCTGCCTGCCACAGGCGGCGGCGGGCGGCTGCGGCCGGGCGACGATGGTCACAGTAACCATTCCCCCTCCCCCCTCTCTCTCTCACTCACTCTCTCTCTCTCTCTCTCTCTCTCTCTCTCTCTCTCTCTCTCTCTCTCTCCCTCACTCTTCCTACAACAGCCCTCGGCTACGACCCGCCTCCGCCTGTTCACGCCAAGGCGCCAGACATGGTGGCCATAGGGGGAGTAGGGGAGAGCGTAGGGCGCAAAGCAAGCGGGGTAAGTATGAAGAATTTGCGCTTGTGCGCGATCAGCTGCAGCAGGCGCAGTGTGACGAAAAACAAACTGCATGAGGGAAATAAGGGGGGCTTATAAGGGAGACGAGTGCGACGCGACGGGTGTAGCAGGAGGATGCTTCAACAAGTAGCTGTTTAATTTACACATGCCACTATGTGTGCATTATCAAACAACAGAAAAGTAGGAATGGTCGAAAAAATCGACGCCTGTTGGTGTGCAATTATTCCCCGCCAGCCCTTGCTTGTATTATGCACTCACACACACGCGCGCGCGCACACACACACACGGGTGGGATTATGAATTACTCAGACCCCAGCCGTGCAAACAGCCACGGTGGCCCGCGGGGCGCTGCGAGCGCAACCACTTTAATATCCCCGCAGGACCCTCGCTGCGCATTCAGACGCCGCGGAGACGCACCAAACTGCCTCTGCTCATATTACGGTGTGTTTTTTTTTTGTGTGTGTGTAGAGTGACTGCAATAGTTGTTATATTATATTATATATTGTCGACTTGTCGGTGGCGCCTTGTCCGCGCGTCCATCTCGCGTAGTCAGCTCCACGCCACCCCCTCGGCCGCGTCCAGGCGTCACCTCGCCAAGAGATATTGATATTGAGGTTGGGGAGGGACGGCCACCACGCCGCGCCCGGCAAGAGGAAAAGGGGGGGGTGAGGGGCTAGCAGGCCAGAAACCAGAATGGGTTCAGAGGCGCAGGTGGCGGCGCTCTGGAACAAGACCTCCGGGCATAAATACGTCCTGTGCAACTGTTCCCCCTCCGCCGCCACACCCCGCCACGCCCAGCCACGCCTCACCGGCGTGCTTGCAGGAGCCTTGCGGGGTCCACCACACCAGCCTGGGTGTGAGGTCACCGCCTGCCCTTGGTGGGGAGACCTTGCACTGCCAAGTGCACCCGGCAGTGTTTCGTGTACTGTATACAGTGTCGCAAACACTGCGTTCGATGGCAATTGGAGACAGAATTATAGTTCTGTCCAATGATGGATGCATTTTCTGCAGAGTGCTGCGCTGACAAAAAAGCGGACAAATGTTAAACGACGGTAGGCTAAATGTGGGACCCTTAGAGCGTTTCAGCCCCCTGTATAATGGATTAAGGATTATTTAAATTTGTTGGCAAAAGCGGACGCTCTTCTCAAACGAAAACAAAATTGCGGCGCTCATAAAATTGTCTGTTTACATGTACTTGACCCCCACTCTCCAAACAGTCCAGCAAGCATAATTTTTCTTTCGTTGTCCGCCTCTCTTATTAGATGGGGAGGGAAGTTTATCGGGCCCATTGGATCATCCAAAAACAAACTAATAATAAAAAGCGGACCTTCCGGAGGCGGGCTTATTGAGTCCAGTGGGGCCCTAGGAGAAGCCGGAAGAGGAAGAGGCGGAGTGGAGGCGAGGAGCAGGAGGGGGAGAGTCGCTCAAAATTAACTGTCCCAAATAATTTGCATAGAGTTTTCTGCGCAGGTGGTATAGAAGAGCCCCTGATAAAAACTTTGTATCTGGGCGCGGTGCGGTGCGTCCCTCTGGGGCCACGCGGGCGGCAGGCACGGGGACTCCGTCTGCCAAAGTGGCCCGTGACAGCGGACCCGGGCCTGTTTTTGCAATCACTTGAGTTGGCTGGGCCCGGCCGCCCTGGCCCGGGTCAGGCTGGAGCGGCATTTTCATCTCATACATCAACACTCTCTCCGCTCGGGGCCGCGGGCTGCGCGAGGGCCGCCGCCGGCTGAATGCTCCGACGGAATTTTCTGCTTGCCAAACACACTCTGCGAGGGTCGACGGCGCCGAGCATAGAGAGACGCGCCCGTCTGCCAGAGCAGAACGAGCCCAGAGATGAAAGTCTGAAAGTTTGAATTAGGTGAAATAGTGTCCTTCTCGTGCTCTCCTCCCGCCCGACGCTCCCTCCCGCCCCCGCTCTCCCCACAGGCCCACACAAAGGGGTACCCGTCCGTCACCGAGCTGTCGTGCGCTCGAGTTCGTCCACCCCTCGCGGCCCAACCAAATATCTGAGGCAGGCAAAGTCATAAAGGCAAAGGCTCCCTCCAGCGGCCTCAGCGAGTTTTTTCGTCTCTCCCTATCTTTCTCTCCCTGTCTCTCTGTCTCTCGCTGTGTCTCTCTCTCTCTGGCTCTCTCTCTCTCTGGCTCTCTCGCTCTCCATTCCCATCCAAATCCCGCCGCCGTCGACGGCATCTTGCGACAGAAATCCAGCAAACACCCGAAGTCACCGAGAGTATCTTCGAGCTCGCTGCACGCTCGGGAAGTAGAAATCGTCCCAAAATTAAATTGACCTGACTGCCACTGCCGTTTTTTTGTTGTTTTTGTTTCGCTTTTCCCCTCTCTTTATTCTTCCATGAGAAGCGCGTTCGCCCCCTCTGCCCGCGCCGCCGACACTCGCGGGGGTGAAAGGCTCTCACTGATTGGTTTGAGAAGAGGGCGCCACGCCGGGCCGGGCCGGGCCGGGCCGCTGAGGCCCCATGTCAAGCAAAAGCCACATCCATCATCATGCGCCTTGTGTTTTTTACGTCGCCGTTTATTTAAGTGCGGGGAGTCGGGCGCGTGGAGGCGAAAGTGGGGGGAGCGGGGCCGAAGTGCGGGCTCTTAGCGTGCGTGTGCGGACGGGGAGGGGGAGGCGAAGAATCGAAGGGTGAAGTGGTCGTGTTAGGTTGACGTATACACAGCATGGGGTGGATTCGACAGATTTCGTGGAATCCAAATGTATCTCTATATGCGGCGGGGCGCGAGTAGGCTGCTGCTGCTGGCTCTGCCCTCTCCCCATCCGCATAAGTGAACCTCTGCAAAAAGTTTTCCACACCGTTATACGAGTCTCGGCGCGCCTCACCGCCTATCGCGTTGGGTGCGGGTGGAGCGCGTACCTCTCTCCTCTCGTACAGCAAAGCGGCTCGTGGTTTCCGCTGTCTCTCTCTCCGAGTCTTTGCCGAGGAGAGGTGGGGGCCGAGGCTGGGCAGAATGAAGGGGGTGGAGGAGTGCTTAATTCAAGCCGATGTGACGCTGCGGTGGCGGGGCGGCCGCTCCGTAAGCGAGTAAGACGCCGACTTTTATGAGGGACAGAGAGCCAGTATGTCACTCCACCCCAAGCCGAGCCGAGCCCCCCCCCCTCCTCCCTCTCGCCAGCTTTGTCCCGCAGGAGCGAGGGCATGGCGGGGCAGGGGGGTAGGGGTAGCTGCACACAATCGGAGACTCTAATAAAACCGGGGAAAAAAAGAGAGAGAGGAGGAGGAGGGAGTCAAAAGTTCATCGCATTGCCCCGGCGGCGAACGCATAAAATATCAGGACGTCTAAATCATTACACGAGAGCACGCACTCCCCCTGCGAGGACTCCGCCCGCCCGCGGCCCGCCCGCCCACGCCGCGGAGACTCGCATGCAGTCACTTATATCTGCTCTACCCAATCTCTGAAACCCGTTGGGCGTATTTCAAAACCTCCAACCACTTCTTTCACTCCTACTCCCACTTCCCGCACCAGCCAGCCCCCACTCTTGCAGTCTCCAGAGAGTTCTTCTCCTTCTTCACGTTCTCTCTCTCTTTCTCTCTCATCCCTTTCTTGTTTGTTTTTATATTTGGTGTGACGCCAGAGTAAGTTATTCGTGACACTTTCGACGATAATGCACCAGAAACACAGAGAGCATTACAAATTACTTAGGAAACCCATGTTCTGGCCTGGTCTGACCTCTACATACTCTGGCTGTATATGTCTGAACAATCGCTCTGCCTGCCCAAAACCCAAAGGGTTCTGCT